GCTTTTGCAGAAGTAGCTTCATTTTTGTGATTCATGTCTTAAAGACTTCTGTGTATTTATCAGTATGAAATTTTCTGTGTAGAATTGGTGATTTACATGGCTAACAATGAATTGTATCCAAAACAGAGCATTATGATAGTTTAAAATTCTTCTCTTAAAGCCTATTCCTAAAGGGGAATTGGCCAACAATTTTTCAAATTTTGGAATATACAAGGCATTGAAACAGGAAAATTCTCCAGTTGCCATGACATAGATATTGTAATGAAAACATTGTATATCATCATTTTTGGCTGCATGCTTTACCAAGGTATCTCTGCCCCCTGGTGGCACCCCCCCCCTTTCTTTTATGTTTAGTAACACCAAAGCTAGAATATTTATTTAGCCCTAAGTATTTGGTTTAAAGGCTTTAAATATTTGTATATGTGCAAGAAGACTCAAAGTGGGAAAAAAAAAAAAAAATCTACCTTTTATCAGATCACATTGGCATTTACCTTAGGCAGAAGGTATGAGTATTATTTTTTTCCCCTCTTTTGAACATATGAAGGCCTGCTTCTTTTGATATCTCAATAATGATTAAGTTGCTTTTAATCCGCTTTGTAGTAATTTCAAAATTGAATTGAGCTGAGGCAGTGAGCAGACATTTTATAATTCAATATGATACATAATCTCAGTGGATTTGGAAGTTGTATGTTTATAAACATGTAGATCACATCATCTGTACTGAAAATGATATAGCTGTAGTCTGTTGAAATACTTTTACTCATTAACTGAATTTAGTGACTAATTAACATAAAGAATTATATGATATAGCAGTTAATGATATCATGTTTTGAAAAGAGGAAATGCAAGCAGAAATTAATATATCTTCCAGTAATTTTCTGCAGGTTTAGTCAGTTGGTCTTTCAAGACTACAATGATCATTGTATTGATTCGGAGAATAGATTTTAGAACAGTCTTGCTTATCATGCATGAAATGCATTTCAGTCACAGGAAGACTCAACATTTGTCAAAAACATATTCATCACTCATTATTTTACAACAATTTGATTAGAAACCAAAATATTGGGTCTCAGTATAAAAGCAAACAATGTGTCTCCTCTCCTCATTTGCTTCAGTTGTTATTAAAAAGAAAGAGAAAAAAATTGTATATGACAAAGAAAGGAACACAGATTTTCATTCAGTCTATGCATAGACATACTATTTTACAGACAAGTAGTAGTGATCCCGCACATGTGATAATATTTTTGTACTCCTTTCCCAAATGTCTTATCATATAAGGTACTTTTTAAGAAAAGATTTGTCGCTCTTGTAAATGCTTATGCTTCCATTACTGTACCTCATTTTACTAAATAATTGTTTTTTGCATTGTAACTGAGAACTATATTTGTGTATATTAAGGTATTGGCTTTGTATAGAGAGAACATGTTGAGAGCAGAAGTTTTGAACCTTTTGAGTTGGAAATGTTTTTTTTACCTTTGATGATGGTATTTTTTAAATTAATGTGTGAGGAGGAAATTAAGTTATTCAGTTCTCCCATTTAATCTGATATTGAATTATCTATAAACATAACTAAGCAGTGTGATTAATTTGTAATATATCTGATTCTATCTAAAAGGTAACTTGTATATCAGTCTGATGAGGATTTTATTCTGCCCAAGGTTCAGAACTGTTGTTTGATTTAGAGCTTTTAGATTATGTATGAAGTATGTAATTATAGTTTTCTGTGAACTAGGCTCAGATCTTCACTGGAAGAATGGCCTGATTGCAATGTGAAGTGTGCTGGGTGTTTTGAAGTTGCTGCTGATAGTCTTTAGTGATTTCTTCAGCAAAAATTGAAAAGTGACCTATACCTATACTGGGTTTATGGTTTTTGTATGAGTCACTGTTGTGATTATTATTATGAGATATGTTCCTATTTTATAAGATCCCTTTGTTTGGTAAAGTAATGAACAAGTAGCTTCTTAACTCATTTGCAATGGGCATGTCACGTATCCATACCATGCCCACTGTGAGTTTACTTGTTTAATCGTTTTTACACATAGATGGCTACACTTGTACCAAATCACCAATGAGCCAATTATGAGTACTGCCTACCTCTCCCGTTTACCCTTTTCTTTAATTAACAGAAATATTGTACGCTATCTTATTTTGCTATTACTAATGTTTATAGCATTATAGTAATTACAAAGTTTATAATAAAAATAACACCATCGATATTCATAGCACTAGTAAAAAATACATTTTCCCGCCAATTCAAGGAAAGGTGAAATCAGGTAAGGCAGAGCCATCTATGTGTAGAATCATTTCACAAAAAATATAAAAAAAGCACAGCATTTTCCCCATTTTTATTCGTTTTCCCCGGCGGCAGTGGGTTAACACATAAGTAACTGGCAAGATAGTATCTTGATTCAGACATGCATTGACTTGCCAGTTGAATATTATTTAATATTAAAGGCCATGTTTTTCTTCTGGCTCCAACAGTTGAATTGGAATTCTAGTA